GGCAAGTGAGATCCAGCTCCTGGCAAAGGGTCACTGGCACACCAGCGGCCCCCCTGGCCCCTGACTTCATCTTTCTCCTTCCCATGGCCTGACAATTCCACCCTTGTGGTGCCGCAGGGTGGGGTGCCCCTGGAGAAGAAGGGCTGACAGCCGGTCCAGAAGACCCATCACTTCTCATTTGTCTGACCCTCTCCCACTTCCCCAAAGCACTGGAGAGGACGTGACAATGGGCAAAGCCTCTGGCTGTGGGGGCAGAGATCTGCCTATTAGCTGTGTGACCTTCAGGAAGTTGCCTGGCCCCTCTGAACTTATATCTCCACCTGTAAAGTGAAGAAAAGGATACTTCCTCCCAGGCCAGTTATGAGTATTAAGCGTGGTGCTTGCAAGTAAAGCAAGCAGGTGCTCAGTAAGTGACAGCTGTCATCATCTTGTCAGGGCTGTTTTAAAAAATCAATTTGCAGTCTGTGCAGAACTAAAACTGGATCTCACCTTGTGGTGCCATCTCCACATTATGCAGATCAAGTAACTGGACTGAAGGGTTTGGAGCTCGCATAGACTGATTTGGGTTCAAGTTCTGGCTCTTGGCCCTTGTGTGACCTTGGGGGTGTAGTTTTTACTCCTCAGAGCTTGGGTTTCCTTGTCTATCACCCCGGGAAGATCATCACCATGCTTCCTCGTGGGGTTTCCGCGAGGTCCTGAAGGGCTACATGCAGCCAGGCACTTCATGGCTGTTGGGGATCCTTGCTTCTATTTTTATTCGACCGGGGACCCCCCAGTGCCCCCCAAAGCCAGTGGTTTCTGTGACCCAGGCACCCTTGCCACAACACTGGGGTGTTAGAATGTTCACACACGGGGTGGAAGTGGAAACCGAGGCTTAGCCAGTCTCTGCTCTCGAGGTCAGCAGGGAAGCAGGGGGAAGAAGGGGAGAGCATGCCCTGTTTGCTCTGCTGGGGTTCAGCTGTTGAAGGCAGAGGATGGTTCACTCTCCCATGGCCCAGGCTGTGGGCATGGTGTCCTGTCCACCAGCTTCGGGGTCTGTTGTCTCTTCCAGACCCACAAAGAAAATCCTCTCCTGGGATCTCCCCGAGCCCTGCTGGGCACCGGATGCAGGACAGAGAAGAGTCTAGACCTTTGGTGGGGGCTTACCCCTCAGGAGGAATGCAATCTCATGTGGGTCACTCCCCTTGTCTGTGGCTCTGTTTCTCCATCTGAGTGCGAATCACATCAGAAGTGTGAGTCCCTATCCAACCACGTATCTGGAGTGGCCTTGAGTGAGCTACTTGCCTTCGCTTAGTTTCTGTGCCTTTGTCTACAAAAAGAGGCAAAATGTTATGATGGGATGTTCATGAAAACAGGAGAGCATAAAGCTGTAGTTGGTATGATTTTCATTGCATTTTTTATTTTTTTTTAAAGATTTATTTGACAGAGAGAGACACAGCGGGAGAGGGAACACAAGCAGGGGGAGTGGGAGAGGGAGAAGCAGGCTTCCCGCCGAGCAGGGAGCCCGATGCGGGGCTCGATCCCAGGACCCTGGGATCATGACCCGAGCCGAAGGCAGACACCCAACAATTGAGCCACCCAGGCGCCCCTCATTGCATTTTAAGAAGTCTAGGCGTGTGGGGGCGCCTCGGTGGCGCAGTCGGTTAAGCAGCCAACTCTTGATTTCGGCTCAGGTCATGATCTCAGGGCCGTGGGACGGAGCCCCGTGTTGGGCTCTGCGCTGGGCGTGTACCCTTACAGTTCCCTCTCCCTCTGCACCTCCCCACTCATGTGCTCGCTCTCTCTCAAAAAAAAAAAAAAGTCTATGTGTATGTTTGTATCCACTGTTTCAAAAAGACAAAGAAAATTTGCTAAGATGTCCCTAGTCCCTCTCGACACTGGACTCATGGGTGACTTACTTCTTCCTATATTGTACTTTTGTACTTTTCTTTCCCCTAATTTTTCTACAATGTGTGCCTCTTACAGTAAGCAATCAGCAATGACAGGCATAAAAAGTGGCTGTGGGTACTGTTCAGGGCTGTCAGAGAATCACAATGAGGCGCCTGTGGACAAACGTGCTGGGTGCTGACCATGCTCACCCTCTCCTCCCAGGGGCGGTCGGGGTTGGCCTGGGGGGCGGTGGTGGTGGCTGCCGGGCTGCCCCTCTGTGGGCGGCAGAGGGACCCGCTGCCTCCGGAGGTCTCCGTGAGGACGTGACCTCAACTCACCAGCAGACACAGACTTCAGCCAAAAGGAAGCTTGAAGGGGAAGGAAAATAACAAACTTCTAACTCCAGCTGTCTCCCCTGCTCCCACCTGACTGTGGGCAAGGCACCTGGCTTCTGTGGCCTTAGCTTCCCGGGCCTTAAGATGGGATTCCGTGCTGCCCGCATCACAGGGGAGTAGCGAGGATCCAATGAAACGGTGGCTTGGCCTCTGTCTTGCCTTCCCTCCCCTGGAATCACTGGAACGCTGTGAGGAGTCAAGCGCTCTGTGCACTAAACTCAAGGCTTTGCTGCAAGATGCGTCAGTAAATGTTCGAACTTATTGTCTCATCCTGCTGCGAACAGCCCAAAGGACCACCTGCAGGTGATCTGAGCCCCCCCAGCCCCCCATGTCCCCTGTTTTCAGGCAGCTTGGACCCCTCCTGATGCCTTCGATATGCTTTCCCCTCCCCCTCCATGCTTCTACCTCACACACCCCACCCGAAGCCGAGACTGCTCCCCACCTTGGGGTCTTTCCTCTCCCCCACACCCCGATCCTCTGCATCTCAAAATATTTTGAGGCTGAGTTTAAATGTCACCTCTTCCGTGAAGCCCTCTCTCCCTGCTTCACCCAGAGGATCTGGGATCCGGTGCTCTCTCTGAGCTACTCTTCCATATCAGTCTCAACGATCTACTTATGGACCTGCTTCCTGCCCTGAACTAAGAGTTATTGAGGGTGGGGTGCATGTCTTACCTTTCCCCCCTAGGGTCTAGCCAGTGGGTGACAGGTGGGTCTCAGTAAGGCTTTGTTGGAACGGTGGCTGTGACTCACAGTTAGAAGTACTCTTCCCGTCGGAAACCAGCAAGCAAAGGCAAGAGTAACGGTTGTCTTCAGTAGCAGCTTGTGCTCAATCCCATTAGCTCAGCACTCAGCGAGGAGGGATGAAGATGGATTTGCCAGGACACCGGTGCTGAGGCAGAAGCTCCCAGGACTTGCTGGGCCAGACCTTTGCTTGTTATTCCCACTTGTCGAGGGGAAGCAGGTCTGTCTCCATTGCTGGCTGCCTGTCGGCACCAGGGGCGAGGAAAAGCCCTGACACGTCTGCAGCCCATCACGCACGGCAAGGTGCCTCAGCACAAAGCACTAGTATGTTCCCTTCTTGATTTGGGCCTCGTGAAAACCCCGTGAGCTGGGCAGGGCCGGGGAGGGGGCTGCCCCCCTATGTTCAAATAAAGAGGCTCAGGCACAACGGGATACAGGTTTGGGCCCGGGTTGGATCTGGGTTTTCTGGTACATGACAGGCGCTGTGCTAGGGAGAACGGGCAGGGCTGCTGACCCATTTTACAGATGAGAACCCTGAAGGTGTGAGGAGTGAAGTCTGCTGCAGCCTTGCAAGCAGAGGGCGAGTAAGCTGTAGGAAGGCTGGTGGGCAGAGGAGTGAGGTCCCGAGCTGGAGCCCCAGGCGGCCACATGAAGGCTCAGTCTCTGGGAAGCTGGGGGAAGGTCCCTGCAGGAACTGGTTGTGTGAGGCCTGCATGGCGGGAAGACAGGTGTGGGCCACGGCCAGGCCAGGCCAGGTGACAGCAATGTTGGGGCTCTAAGCAGCCTCTTACGTGTGGCATCCCCTTTGCGGTTCTCAGGACCCAGCATGGGAGGCAGGCTGCGGAGGCTCTCCCCAGCACAGAGAGGAGGAGCCCGGCGCCTGGAGGGGATGCTCCTACGGGCTGGGGGGCATCCTCTGCGAGACTCACGGCACCACCCAGGACTTGGCAATGGACTTTTCAAATTTGGCACAGTTCAAACCAACTCCCACCATCAAGCACTGCATGAAAACCACAACAGAAATTAAAACCATCTCTTTCTTTGGTTTTATACATATTTAAAAGGACAACCTCTGCTCAGTGGCTCAGAGGCCCCGATCAGTCAACTGAAAGAAGGAAACACCTCGGTTAATTAGGTGACATGAGATTCTGGAAAGCGCCGAAGGTGGGGCCTCTGAGGGAGGGGGAGCAGAGGGTTTATGGCCCCCTTCTCCACCTTTCTTCTCACTGCTCCTGGGAGCTGAGGGACCTGTTTACACCTGGAGGTGGTGAAGGGGAGTCCTGCCAGCAGAGGCACAGGACACGGGCCTGCGCGGGCCCCTGCATGCTGGGGAATGGGGCTGCCAGACCCGGGGTGGCAGGTGCTGCGCGGGCCAGCTCGGCCACATGGTGGCACTGAAGGTGACAGAGGAACCTGGAGGCCACGAGGCTCCTGAATGTTTCTAGCACCCCTGCAGCCCTAGGACTCTCCTGCACCAGGAGGCCCAGACCTGGAGGCTTTCTGGGCTGGAAGGAGCCTCAAGGTCTTCAAACCCAAGTCCCAACTTGATGCCACCCCGCCCTCCCCACCCCAGTAGAGGCCTTCCTGTCCGGAGAGCTGCTTTGCTCAGAGAGCTTCTTTCCTCCTCCCCCTGCTCACCCTCCATGCCCCAGGCCCGGTCCCTCTTCCTGCCCCATCTTGGTCACAGGCTGCCTCAACATGCAGGGCTGGAGTGACTCCAGTGTCCTGTGGTCAGCGCAGAGGACAACAGTCCTGCTACCGCCTCCTTCCGGACCTTTGTGGGCCCAGCCCTGGGCCCCGTCGTCGCCGCCGAAGCTGACAGCCAGCCACCGTCAGTCAGTCCTGCTCAGATGCCAGCCCGGCCCATCGCGGTGCCCCGGGATCCTGGGCGCCACGGACAGGACCTCAGTCATCGTACTAAGCCCCCCCCCCCCCCCCCAGTGTACTCTGGTGCTCCCTCGGGAGTCAGGTGCGGCCGGCGCGGCCCTCCCCGCCCTAAGCGCTTGTCTCCACGATGCACTTGAGGAACATGGTGTCATCCTTCACGTAGGCGTGCTTGGGCGACTGTAGCCTGTTGAGGGGGAAGAAGAGCGGGCAGCCACTGGCCACGTTGGTCTCACCCTGGGGCCGCTGGAAGGATGCTGAGCTCAGGTCGGGCCGGAAGGCGTCGATGGCATGCTCACGGTTGTTCTGGTCGAGCAGCATGAAGGTGACCTGCATGGTAGGGGGCAGTGGGGGGGGTCAGGCCCCGGGCAGCAGCACCGAGGGACCCCCGTACGGCCCCTCTGACCCCAGCTCAGGCTGATGAAGAGTCAAAGAAACAATGTAAGGACCGCGTTTGGCGTGTGGCAAGATCCCCGGGGATGGAAGTCTTCAAGGGTTGCCCTGCGAGTAGGGATCAGATGTTCTTTCCACCAGGAATTCAGAGCCACAGTCAACTCTAGTTGGATGGTGGGGGCTAAAGGTGGGACCAGGGCCTGACAAGGAGACCAGACTCCGTAACCTACGATGCCCCTTCCTGCTCTGGAATGTTTCATCCATCACCTACAGCTGGGATCTCCTGGAGCAAGGCGGAGGGACAAGGACAGACAGGCCTTCTCTGGAGGGGCTGTCAATCCGTGTCCCGAAACACAAATGCGTGCCCCAAGACGCCGAGCGACACAGACCCCCTTCTCTGGCACGTGTCCCTGAGACACTCACAGCCGACCACAGTGGTTTTCAGATCAGGCTGCGCTTTAGAAGGCCCTGGGAAGGTTTTAAAAACCCTGACACTCAGGCCTCACCATGTACTGGAGTGAGACCTAGCCGTTGGGTATTTTAAAACCCTCCCTGGCAGGCCTGGGAACCACTGACCTAGTGACTCATACCCAGACCACTGCGGCATCCCCACCCTGCCCCACCTGTTTGCCCTTCCCTCCCTCCACCCCTTCCTTCCCCTCCCCTGCTTGCTGGTTCACCTGCAGGGAAGGCCTCACCTCCCCGCTCCTGTAGTCCTTCTAAATATTTTTAACAGATTGTGTTTTTTCGAGCAGTTTTTGGTGCTCAGCACAAGCAAATCTCACTGTAGAGATTTCCCATGCAGCCTCCCCTCCCCTGGTCGGCATCCCGCACCACAGTGGTGCATTTGCTACAAGCGCAGTCCACGGTTTACCTCTGGGTTCACCCTCGGTGCTGTGCGCTCATTCTCTGGGTTTGGACAAATGTGTGATGACACGTATCCAGAATTAGAGCACCCAGAAGAGTTTCACTGCCCTAAAAATACACTGTGCTCTGCCTCCACTCGACCCCTGGCAATGACTGATCTCTCCCAGTCTCCACAGTGGTGCCGTTCCCAGGACGTCCCAGAGCTGGGATGGTGCTGTGCATGCCCCTTTCACAACGGTTTCTTTCACTCAGGGATAGGCCTCTATGGGTCGTCTAGGTCTTTCCATGGCCTGCTGGCTCGTGTCATTTTAGCAGTCACAATATCCCGCTGTCTCAACGCCCTGCAGTTCATGCATCCACTCACCCAGGGAAGGGCACCCTGGCTCCTTCCAAGCTTTGGCAATTCTCAACAAAGCTACTATAAACATCTGTGTGCAGGTTCTTGAGAACCAAAGTTTTCAGCTCGTGTGGGTAAATACCAAGGAGGGTGGCTTCTGGGTCACAGGGTGAGAGTATGTTTCGTTTTGTCAGAAACTGCCAAACTCTCTTCTGTCTTGCATTCCAGCCAGCTGTGAACGAGAGTTCTGACTGTTCCACACCCTCGCCAACATCTGGCGTTGTCGGTGTTTTGGCCATTCTCAGAGGGGTGTTGTGGTAGCTGCCTCCTTCCCTTTCTCCAATTCACTGGCCCCATAGCACCTCCTCCAGGCAGTTCTCCTTATTTACCCCACCACGTGAATTTCATTGCTACCTGCCTTCCTGGGGCGCTGCTCCAGGCATTTTAGCCTCTGGACTCATGATGCCCATGGGCACTAGATGTGGACTCAGGCTCTTGTTTTATAAAAGGTGAAACTGAAAATGCAGAGAGGACCAGGCCCCAGGCTCGCCCCCTCCCCCGCCCGGCCCATACCTTGTTCCGAAAAGGCCAGGGCAACAGAGCATCGTACTCCCCTCTCATGATCACGATGAAGAGCGACAGGTGGGTCCTCTTTCCCGTCCCGTCCCCGTTCAGGTAGAGACGCAGGCAGAGTTTGTAGCCGTACTTGGCAGTGTAGAAAGCTGAAGTGTGGAAGGCGGAGTCAGCACCGGGGGAGCTGGACCGTGTCGACCGCTCCGACCAGGTAACTGGCATGCCCAAGGTCAGTGGCTCAAAACTAAGCAATCTGGGGCTGGAGCGCAGCACTCGTCTCAATTCTAGAGCGTTAAGGAGGACCAACCTGGCTCTTGGAGATCATCTGGCCCAGTGGCTGTCAACCAGCCGTCTGCACCACAGATTGCCGGGCCCGTAGTTTGACTCCCGAGTGCCGGGCGAGGCCTGAGGATGTGCATCTCTAACAGGGGACAGTGATGCTGCTGGCCCTGGCACCCCACTTTTGACTTAACCAACCTGCACTTTGCAGTGGGGAAACCAAGCCCAGAGAGGTGAAGTGGCTGGGCCCAGTCTTCTGCCTCACAACACTGACCTCTTTCTGCGGCCCTAGGCCAAGTGGCCCCAAGCACTGGAAGGTGGGGGAGCCACCCTGGCGAAGGCCCCCGGGGGATGAATCATCCCCTGCTGATTACGCACGTGGGCAGCTGAAAGGGCCAACCAAGTGTGGGGGCCAGTGGCTGTCAGAGTGAGGGCCCCTCTGGGAGGGGCTGGGGGCAGGGGGACAGGCCGGGGAAGCAGGCAGGAAGAGGTGGAGGAAGGACGGGCTGACAGTCTGACTCCTCTGTCCCTTTACATCTTGGTAGAAGAGGAAGTCAGAGACACTGCTGCTTTTTTTCCTCTTTGGAAAGAAGGGCGGGGTGGGGGGGAGAGCTCTGTGGAGGAGGTGAGGCCACCCCATGAAGGGGGCTGCTCCCAAGGACAGGGGCCCGGCTGCAGGAGCCAGCCCTGCTCTGTGGCCTGGGGCAAACGCCAGTGCCTGTGTGGATCCCAGCCCCGCTGGTGGTGGGTGGAAGAGAGGAGCTGATGGACAGGAAGGGTATGAAGGCCGGGCAAATGTGCGAGGCTATTAAAATCGTCATCCACAGAAATCCTCTTAACGGTCCACCCGCTTACTTAGATGCGCACGTGTGAGAGGAGAGGAAAAGCAAACAGGTCTGAGAATTTTACGCACAAATATATATGTCGTTACATCAATGGAGACCAATTAATAAAGGGAAACATCTACTGGGGCACCTGGGTGGCTCAGTCCTTTGCGCTCAGGTCATGATCTTGGGGTCCTGGGATCCAGCCCCGCGTCGGGCTTCTTGCTCAGCGGGGAGCCTGCTTCTCCTTAGCCCTCTGCCCCCGCTCATGTGCTCTCGCTTTCGCTCACTCCCTCTCTCAAATAAATAAGTAAAATCTTTTAAAGAACCAAAAAACAAGAGAAACACCTCCTGAGTAACTATGCCTTGCATGATACTGCACCAGGCCTGGGGGCCCCAGGATGAATGAGAACTTCTCGGATTTGCACAGCACTCACTCACATGCCCTCACGAGCTACAGCCACACATTTCACTTCATTCTCCACTGGCCTTATTTCGGACCGCTGGCGCTCCGAGGGCAGGGTTCCTACGGTAAGCACCTGTGGGGAGCATCCTCTGCACGCCTCTCATTTCCACAAGCTCTGGCTCAGAGCACTCTCTCTGTCACATCCGAGACCCACATGAAGCAGATAACAGTCTTACTCCTATTTGCAGAATACGACTGACTGATGTCAGGGAGGCAGAAGGCATGCCCAGTTCAAACAGCCCATGCTCCCTGTGGCTGAGCAGGGAGCCTGCCACCTCCACCTAAACGACTCCAGCGTGGCCGCTGTCCCTGCTGGTTTCCCGGGCCCAGGGAGGCCTGCCGCCCCCTGCTGGCCTGCGCCCCTGGGGAGATGGTACCTGGGGAGAAGAGGCTGAGGGTCCTGCCACAGGCTGACTCGTGGCAGCGCCTGGTGACATTGGTGATCTTCCAGAGAAAGGTGCCATCGAAGGAGGCCTCCTCCATGAGGCGGAGGCTCTGCTCCAGCTTGCCCAGGGCCTGGTCTTTCTGAGTCAGGGTCTGCTGCAGCTCCACCACCTGCAGGGAAGCCCATTCAGCCAGGGACACCCAGAGCACAGCTTGGGGTCAGGGTGGGGATGGTAGGGTACCGAGACAGAACTGCCCCCAGTACGCCTTCCTGACCACGCCTCCCTCGGGCACGCGTATCTGCCTCTGTCCCTGCTGCCCCTCCTGCCTGGACCTCCGTGGCCTCTCTTCTCCCCTGGCCGACTCCTCCTTATCCATCAGGAGCCTGGCTCACACAGCCCTTTTCCGGGAAGCCTCCCACTACCGCCCCAGCTCCACTGGTCTCTCTCAGCGCTGTTCTGCAGGGCACTTCCAGCAGTTTCTTAAGATACGTCTTTCTGCCCTTCCTACCAGGGAGATGGTTTCCCCTAAGGAAGACTGGGCCCATGCTCATTCTCTCTGTCTTCAGGCCTTGCATGACGCGTGAGGGACTAGAGCCAGGAAGGTTCTTGATGCACTGGAGACACAGCTGCTGGCCTCAGGAGCCCACCTTCTCACTGAGGCAAGAGTTACATGAATAAAGGCTTTACTCGGTCACTCAAACCCACTGCCTTGCTCTTCTGGTACGCTCCCCCCACTGACATCTGAAAAAACACAGACTTATTCTTGGGTGTGCTCAGGTCGGGAAGGAAGGCATGGAAGTGGGTGTCCTTAGAGGAAATTGAATCCCTAATATTCCTGATGGGAAAGCTGAAGTTCTGAGAGGGCAAGTGACTTGCCCAGACCCACGCAGCAAGTTAACAGTGGAGCTGGACCTAAAATCCAGGCCCAACACAACATGAGGCAGTGACAGAATGTTGCTGGACAGGAAAAAAAAAAAAAAGCAATATTAGCATGGTGACTGGTTATATTAGGAGAAGTATAAACTCTGGAACAAGGGAGGGCATGGTCCTGCTCAACTAAGAACTGTCAGACAGCCGGATTATCTGGAGTTGGTCCGGGACCTCCACTCCGAGTGTGTAGAATCCTTATCCTTCAGAGACTGAGCCAGAGCCTATGAGGGTAGCGTGAAGCCAGGTGCTCTGAGGAAGGGGTGAAGGCACTGCAGGTGCCTTCCTTCCAGAAGGAAATACTCAGTGACTGCTTCTCCCGGAAGGGCTGTCACAGGGCCTGGAAGGTAGATTTGTTCAGGGGGCCCGGAAACGCAGGGCCAGGGACAATGCCGGGAAGACACAGAGAGGCTGATTTTAGTTTTGTATAAGGAAGCACTTTCTCATTATGAAAAATGTCCCCCAGTGGAATGAAATGCTTGGGAAGGGAGTATCCTATCACAGGAGAACTTCAAGCAAAGAAAATGAAGCACACTGGATGGGGGAGTTTGACCTCGACTATAACTGGGATTCAGTGCTCTTCCTAGAGGGTCCTGGAACACAGGACAGATACTTTTTGATGGTGGCGGGGGAGGGGAGGGAGCAGGGAGAATGCTCAGAAGGAAGGCTGCTGGTCCACTGCTCTGGAGACAAGAGGGGGCCAAGGACCATCCCACCCCCCAGCCCACCTTGAAGGGGAGCTTGCCTCCCATGCTCACCCGCTGTTCCAAGCTCAGGATATGCTCCCGGTCAAGCTGGCTCTGGTGGATGGAGGCTGCTAAAGCCAGGTGGGAGGCTTCCACCTCCTTGTTGAGGACAGCGACGATGTTCTCAAACACGCGCAGCTTCCCCTCCAGCTCAGCCAGGAGCTTCTCCTTCATGAAGTGCTGCAGGGCCAGTTCGTCCTGGCTCTCGGAGCGTGGCGCCCGGTAGCAGTCCACCTCCAGGTCTCCTGCCACCTCCACGGCCGCCTGCAGCTGCAGGTCTGACAGATTCTGCTCCAGGGCCATGGGCCTAGACCCCAGGCCCGAGCCCTGCTGGGCCTTCCGCTGATTCAGGAACCCCAAAAGCAGGTTTAGGTGGGTGGTCTGGGAGGTGACCTCATGCTCCTGCAGGAGCTTTCGGCTCCCCTGCCAAGAGAGCGGGGCTGGTCAATGAAAACAGAGGAAGTTGAGGAGAACCAGGGAGTGGGGGAGAGTCTGGCTACCCAAAGGCTGCCAAGGGAAGTCGGGTCCATTCACCCAGCAAAAGGGAAGATGCTTTGTGTGCTGCAAGAGGGATCTGGATGAGGACCCGGGCATCAGACATGCCCAGGGTGAGCCGGGAGCATCCCAGTCTCTGGAGCAACAGTTCTGCCCTGCCTGTGAAAGCAGTGCTAATTCAGGACCACGGAGAGGGGCAGGGGCAGTGAGGGGGGCACATTTTAGCGATACTACAGTGCTCAGAGGAGACATTCAGAAGAACTTCCCCCAGTATGGAGATGATTTACTAGTGGGATTTGTTGCTCCAAAGAGTCATTAATGTAAGGGACATCAGGAGGAGTAGCTTGGTGTTGTGGGAAAATCTGGGAGGGCCTGCAGTGAGGGGATCCGGAGCTCTGGGACTGTAGTGGACCCTTCTTTCTCACATGCAGATGCTTACCTTGTAGGAGCAGCCAACACCAGCAAAGGGGCACCCAACTTCAGCCTCAGCCTCCTCAGGGTGATCCTGGAAACAATAACCATGTCACCAGATGTTACGGGGGTCCCAGTGGCCACCAATGGGGCTCTGCAGAGCACGAGGATCCACCAGGGCAGAAGCTGGGCTGGCCCACATGATTTGGCACATGCTGTTCCTTCTGCCTGGCTGACTCCTTTCCACCTTGTGAGCATCAGCCCTTCCGGGACCCTCCTTCAAAACAGGATCAAGGCCTCTGCTGAGATCTGGGCAGAGCTGCTCTCTCTTCTGTCAGGCTGGGTCTCACCCAGCTTTCCAACCATCATTCACTGTTTGGTTGCCCCCAATGGGCTGGGGGGGTCTCTGAGGGTCCCAGTTGTATTTCCAGTGTGGGGCAGTGTCTATTACAGAGGAGACACTCGGGACATGCTGGTGGCAGGACTCGGCACCTTCTTCCTCCTGAAGCCCAAGAGGGCCTCTCCTCACAATTCCCATCTGCCTCCCTCCTCAGCCATCCACCCGTGACTGACTGAGGCTCGGCTGCCCTGCACCTGCCGTCCCTTCCAGATAAGGGGACAGCCCGAGGGCAGCAACACCAACAGGACTGAGTATTCAACAGCAACTGGAAAATACTGTTAACCTGCTTATAGGTCTGAGGAGTTTACAAAATGCTTTCATGATCACAGTTCTTCCCAGGCCCCTAACAACACTACAAGGAAGGCAGAAGAGGCTTTTTGTTCCATTTTACTGATGAAGAAATGAGGCTCACAGAGGGGAAGGAATCTGCCCAAGAAGGAATGGCGAGGGAGATGCATGGCCACAGGGCTCTTCCCACACCAGATCACCAACTCTTATCAAGAATAAGCCCATGGGAAATTGGCAGGAAATTTTTTCCAAAATGCATTATTTAGAAAGGGCTTGTATCCAGAATATATAAAGAACTGTTACAATTCAATAAATAAGACAAGCCACCTAATAAAATGGGTAAAATAATGAACAGATACTTCACAAAAGGAGCTATATAAATGACAAGTAAGCCTATGAAAAGATGCTCAACATCACCAGTCATCCCAGAAATGCAAATTATAACAAAACACCACAGTGAAATATACTATCGACTCACGAGATGGGCAAAAATGCAAAAAAAAAAAAAAAAAAAAGAATGATAATATCAAGTTTTGGTGAGGATGTGGAGGAACTTGAGAACACAAAATGGTACAGCCACTTTGGAAAAATTTATGCAAGTATATCGTAAAGTTAAATCATACTTAGAAAGCAACTTTCTTACAAACCATGCCTATACAGTAAGCGTACAACCCACACATTCTATCCCTAGGAATTTACCAAGAGAACCTGAAACACACATCTCTGTGTGTATGTGATGTTCAGGGTAGCTTTACTCATAATAGTCCCAAACTGGAAGCAATTCCAAATATCTACCAAATGGTGAATGGATACGCAGTGTGCTCTATCCATGCTCTGGAAAGCTCCCTGGCAATCAGATGGACTAAAATATGAATAGGGGCACCTGGGGGGCTCAGTCGTTAAGCGTCTGCATTCAGCTCAGGTCATGGTCCCAGGGTCCTGGGATCGAGCCCCACGTCGGGCTCCCTGCTCCTCGGGAAGCCTGCTTCTCCTCCCTCTCCCACTCCCCCTGCTTATGTTCCCTCTCTTGCTGTGTCTCTCTCTGTTAAATAAATAAGTAAAATCTTTAAAAAAACAAAATATGAATAAATGCAATAACATGGAGGAACCTCAAAAGCATTACGCTAAATGAAAGAAGTCAAACGCTACAAGAAGTCAAAGACTGCATGCTAGGACTCCATTCTTAGAGATTCTAGAAAAGAAACTCGAGTGACAGAAAGTAGATCAGTGGCTGCCTGGAGCTGCAGCTCGGGAGACTGCCTAGCCAGGGGCCCAAGGAAGCTTTTTCCAGTGTAGAAACATTCACCCTCTCTGCTGTAGTGGTCACACGACTGTATACATTTCCTGGCATTCATCAAACGGTACACTTAAGAGGAGTGGATTTTATTGCATAGCAATAATATCTTGATTTTCCAAGGGCTCTGTTGTTGTTTTTTTAAAAAGAATGCTCTCATGGGGCAAAACGAAGGCAGATTTGGATGCAAGGGTGGGTGGAGAGGTCTTTGGGGCTGAGCAAATACAAAGCCACCCTAGCCATTATTCTTTAAAAATAAAATAAGCAAGAGCTGTGGGTTTAATGAGTACTGTTGGTTTGGGGTACACAGCACAGCTCAGCAAATGGCCAGCCTTCCCTTCAGCCCCTGTCCTGGGCCTTTGAGCACAACTTGTTCCCAAAAAGGAATAGGACACAGATGTTTCACTGGGGCGGGGGCACACTGTACTGGCTTCAGGGAGCGGGCAGTGACACAGCCTCTTCCAGCAGGTGGGAGCACAGGGCGGGGGCCGGGGGGACCAACGGAGGGCCTGAGGCTTGGCTGTGGACATGGTTCCTGGGTGAGCGGACCGGGGGTAAGTTCCTGGGCCCTAAGCTTGAAGTGAGTCATAGGAGGGAGAAAACTAAGGATGGAAATGGAGAGATCACCCACAGGTGGAGGGGCTGGTGTGTGGAAAGCCCACTGCAGCCTGAAAAGCGTGGTCTGGATGCATTACGATGCGTGGATGGGTGCGGGCCACGGCCGGCCTCCGGTGGCTGACAAGAGGATGGGCAGGGTGACTCGGGAGGACTTCAGATGCCTAGGTGGCTAGCCAGGCGGCCCCCAGTCCCACCACTAGTCCACTACTCCAAGATGGGCTCCTTGGAGTGCCACAGGGGCTAAGGGGGTGGGCTCTGGAGTCAGCCTGCTGGGGTGCAAAGCCCATTTCAGTCTCTTCACATGCTATTTGGTCCTAGGAGACTTATTAACCTCTTCCTGCCTCAGTTTCCTTATCTGCAAAATGAGGATAATAATAGGACACCCCCGGGGCACCTGGGTGGCTCAGTCCTTAAGCGTCTGCCTTTGGCTCAGGTCATGATCCCAGGGTCCTGGGATCGAGCCCCGCATTGGGCTCCCTGCTCCGTGGGAAGCCTGCTTCTCCCTCTCCTGCTCCCCCTGCTTGTGTTCCCTCTCTCGCTGTGTCTCTCTCTGTCAAATAAATAAATAAAATCTTAAAAAAAATAGAGGACCCCCCCCATGGAGTTGTGGGGATCACAGGCGACAATACTGGTAAGCGCTAGCATTAGTTACTTATGGCGGCTGTAACAAAATACCACAAACTTAATGGCTTCAAATACCACCAATTTATTATCTCACAGTTCTGGAGGGCAGAAGCCTTCACATCAGGTGTCAACAGGATTGTGTTCCTTCTGTAGGCTCTAGGGGAGACTCCGTTTCCTTGCTTTTTCCAGCTAGAGGCCGCCTGCATCCCTTAGCTCATGGCCCCTTCCTCCATCTGCAAAGCCTGCAGCACAGCATCTTCCAATGTCTCCAGCCCTCTCTTGTCTCCCTCTTATGAGGACCTTTGTGATGACCCTGGACCCCTCTAGTTAATCCAGGGTCATCTCTCCATCTCAATTTAATCCTTGATTTAATCACCTCTGCAAAGCCCCTGTGGCCATTGTTATGGGCAGAGTTGTGTCCCTCGACTCATCTGCTGGGAATCCCACCCCCAGAACATGACTGCATTTGGGGACAGGGTCTTTACACAGGTAATGAAGTTAAAATGAGGGCAGCAGGATGGCCCTTCTCTGACATGACTGGTGTCCTTATGACGAGAACATTTGGACACCACGGGAGGATGACAGGATGATACTGGAAGAAGGCAGCGTCTACAAGCTGGGAGAGAGGCCTCGGACGAATCCCACTCTGCCTTCAGCTTCTTGCCTCCAGAACTGTGAGAAAAGGCATCTCTGTTGTTCACACCACCCAGTCTATGTGATGGTGGCTGGAGCAGATGAATCCAGCCACGTAAGGTGACATATTCACAGGTTCTGGGGGTTAGGGCGTGGACCTCTTTGGGGAACACCGTTCTGCCTACCATGGCACTCCATAAATGTTAGCCATGAGTAGTAGCTATAAGCAGTGTATTATTCGTATTTTTATTCCATGGATTAAGCACTGCCCTTGGGTGCTTAATTTTTTTTTTCTTCCATGGCTGTTATATATATGCTTCTCATTTAATTCTCCCATCTTGAACTCTTTTTTTTTTAAAGACTTATTTATCAATTTGAGGGAGAGAGGGAGAGAAAGCATGAGCAGGGGGAGGAGCAGAAGAAGAGGGAAAGGGAGAAAATCTCCCAGCAGACTCCCTGCTGAGCGTAGAGCCCGATGCAGGGCTTGATCCCAGGACCCCAAGATCATGACCCGAGCTGAAATCAAGAGTTGGACGCTTAACCGACTGAACCATCCAGGCACCCCTCTCACATCTTCAACTCTTAATAACTAATTCTACAAAACCCTATTTTGCCATTGGATTTCCTCAGGGAGATGAGAACATCCTAAACGTGTTTGTATTTATACTGGACCAAAGCATTCTTGCGTGTTTTTTCATAGGATCCCTGCAGCGACAGGGCAGGAGCAGGTAGGGTGGGATTAGCTTCCTCTCAAGACAGATGGAAAACTTTGAGTTAAGGGCTGGCCTGAGGTCACAGCAAGCTCAAACACTGAGGAGCCGCCTGGACCTGGGTCTTCTGGCCCACAGTTACAAGACCTTGCAAGGGTTTGCGGCTTTCTTGGCAGCTGAGCGAGCACGGCCCCGGAGGATCTCAAGGAGGAGGTTGGAGCTCTGAGGCTCCGCTTCTCGTGTAAGTGGGGAATCTGAAGCTCAGGGATGGCCAGTGGTTTGCAGGCGGTGATGCCAGTTCAGGACAAAGGCAAAGTAGAGGCCGGGGACCTACAGTCCATGACCAGGGTCCTTCCTCCCAAATGGGGAGTCTTCGCCTTACCCAGAGGGTGGCCTCCCCTAAAGGGTGGGGCCGGAGGGGCCGGGAGAGGGAATCAGGCCAGGGCTGCAGAGGAAGAATAGGGCATCTGTCCTGGGCCCAGCCTGGTATGCCTGGAGCCTCAAGCGGCCCCTGTGAGTGGCCCCAGTGCTTGCAAACGGCTAAAAATAAAATCCACAGTGGAATTTTCTCCAAGGAGGAAACAGAAACAGAAAACAAAATCCCAGCCCCGAGGGAACACTTGTCCTTCTGTCTGTGTCCGAGAAGTCTGGGGGTGTGTGTTATTCCCGGCCACCGTGCTCACCCAGGCCCTTTGTGATGGGGTCAGCAGGGGGTCCCATCCAGGCCACCCCCCACCACTAGGGGACCTGTGGGCTTCTGAGAATGTGAGTATGAAGAGGGTGCCAGGCACGGCCCCCACTGCCACACCGGGCACAGAGGCTGGCTCGGGTCCTGCTCGGGGGTCAGCTGGTGCTGAGGGGGGAGATCTTTCACCAGGATGGGGGGACCTGGTCAGCCTGCGTCTGCCTGACAGTTCCTGCCTTCCTCTGTACCAGAGCCTGTTTCCTCTTTGGCAACTTCTGCTCAGCTCAATGGCCACCTCCCTCCAGGAAGCCCTGCCTGAGTGTCCTAGCTGAAAGCACTCTTGCCCATTCCTGTTTTCCCGTGGCACCTGGTGGACTCCAGTACTCAGGGCTGATGGTGTTATTTAAATCTGCATGAAACACTTGGGGTGATCCACTGAGAGAAGGTGCCACCAGCCGAGGAGGGCAGGGCTTAGAACCTGGGCTTGCTTCCCCCTTACGATAGGACTTGGGTCCAGGTGCACCTTCTCACTGAGCCTCAGTATCTTACCTAAAACCTGGTAAAACAGGGATATTACCGCCACCATGACACAGGATGTCACGGGGTCGACACACTTCAAGGGATACCGATAAAGGGGAGAAACAGTTACCCCAAGTGCACAGAGACTGGGGACAGACTCAAGAGGGACATGGTCAGTGTCTTCCCACAGATGCGGGCCCACTTTGGGGGGCCGAAGGCTGACTGACTTGCCTCTCGTGGCCCCCAGGGAAACAGAGTCTGGCTCAGTACAAAGGGGAACACGGCGCGAGCGTCAGGGTGCCCCCGGATCGAAGAGGTTGTCTCATGGGGTCACAAGCCCGCGGCCTGTCGTAAGCCACTGGTGTCCGAGGCCAGCTTGCTTTTGGCCTCCGCGGGTGGTCTCCGAGGCAGGAGAGTGAAAGGAACAATCCTCCTCACAGGGTCACGGCAGACAGAACCGAACGTTATTTTCCAGACACCGGGCTGTTCCTTATTTCAGTGTCACTTCTAGAAGAAGGTCATTCCAGGCAAGAACCAAGCCTCTAACTAGGTCAACAGTGATCCTTTAATATCTGGGTCTTCTATTAGCTCCTGCATCCACGGCTGTGAGCGCTTCTGAGACACTAATCTAAGGAAGTCAGAGGATCAGGACTCGTTGATCAGCAGATGGCATGGGCGCCTCTGGGGTTGACCCAGCCGGGCTCTGGCCACCCCACACCCGAGTCCCCAGGTTTACCTGCATGCACAAACTTCAGAGTGACCACATATGCAAAGTATTGACTTCTAATCAGCTGCTTTCCTTTGGTCAAAAGTCCCCCAAAGTTCCCACTGGGGTCAGGAGCCAGAGGAGCCTCTCTAGTCTTTCTGGTCTGTGGCTTTGTGTGGGTCTGGGACCACGGGCTCACGCAATACCCTCCCCCACCCACCCCGCCCCCCCACTTTTCCCCATCAGGCGGGGAAGCCAGGGCGGGAGGCCTGCTGCTGCCCTGGCCCCCTGGAGATAGCACCCACTCCTACCCCGAAGGCGGTCAGAGTACCTGTAATTCTACCATCAGATCACTTCATTTGATTTAGGGCAGCAAGCTTCCCACTGTGCTCTGCAGGACTCCGGGAGCCCCCAGAGTCCCTCAGGGCCCGGGACAGTAGAAAGAGAAGGGATAACTAAAAGGATGGGGTGCCAGGCTCCCCCTTAATCGGAGCACTTATACTCTCACTGGATTTCACGTTCACAAAGATGAAAAAATTAACACCACTGGATTATGAGATTGAAAATCTCTCTTACCTCTATTATCTGAGATTTGTACAATGAATGTGTATTAATATTGTGAAGAGGGGAAAAAACCAGACAAACTGGAAACAACCTCCCTGGAGCACTCAAGCGGGCAGGAGCCTTAGAAGGCAGGGAGCACACAGCCTCTCTTTTGCAGGCGGAGCCCGGCGGCCCATACAGAGAGCTACGTCCACGTCTGCTGGCGTCTCATGGTTAGCTCACTAAGACGTCCAGACAGGGAGACTTGGGAAGCCGTTCCACCGGTCAGTTTATCCAATTAGCTCTTACCACTGTTGCAGAGTGGAACGTTCTGGGAAAACGCATGGGGTCCTTACTATGACTCCCTTGAGGGCCTGCAGGGGAGGGGCTGTGAGAAGAGGATGGGAGAGCCCTCAAGGCCAGCCCTGGTGGGGGCAGGAAATTCCTCCAGCTCTCTGAAGCTGAGGGGCCAGAAGAGAAAAGGGAGAAGAAGGTGTGAAGACTTGTCTGCCTCTGGCTTCCTTACAGCCAGCCACGGACAGGTAAGCTGGACATCACAGGCCCTGGGCTGGCCTTGCAGAGCCAATCTGGCTTCTTCATGGAGAAACAGGCATGAACGTGACCTCGGCCGCGCACACAATCTACAACACCATCCCTGGACACCAGGCTCCCAAGCGCTGGGCCATGGTTTCAGGGCAAGGAGGGAGCTCTGGCTGAAAGCAGCCAGGAACCTCACCGAGAGGGAGGGCGGCCAAATGGCGAGACCCTGGGTGCTACGGAGTTTTGTGCTGAGACTCCCCAGTGGGTGTTGGGGCCCGACGTGTAAGACCGGGGGCTAGATTTGGAGCAGGGGTTCTTATAGATTTGGGCCAATACAAGTTTGTTTGTTTTTTTAATTGGAAGATGAACATGAAGATGGTCATTTTTTTTTTTTATTTTACCAAGTAAAGACGTTATCAAAAATCCTATCACCGACTATCACCATCATTTCATTTGTACAAAGACACGTATGGGGAGGATATAACCCCAGAGCAAAGGTTGATTCTACGAACGGAAAGGTTTTAGTTTTATAAAAAACTCACTATGATTTCCTTACTTTTATCACTTTATTCATGTGCTGGCAGGAATGGACCAGGTCTGGTTGGCTTGTGGGAGCCTCTTCCCTGGACAGACGGACCTGTGAGGGTTCTTCCAACTTGGAAGGGCTAGAGTTCTAAACTGTGGTGCCTGAAAATGTCTCTGTGGCCCTTCACACTTCCAAAGCTGTTTCTTATTCCTAGAAGCACAGCGTGGCAGAGCTTGAGAGGTAAGCTGAGAAGGACTTCTCCCTGTCTGAGGGCACACCAGGGCAGAAAGAACTGTCTAGATCAAGAGGTGACAAACTTCTCCATAAAAGGCCAGATAGCAAATATTTTGCACTTTGAATCCTCTATTGCAACTACTCACCGCCACCGTTGTAGGGCAAAAGTAGCTACACACCATGCATGAATGAGTGGCGTGTGGCTGTGTACCAATAAAACCTCATTTACGGACACAGAAGTTTGAATTTCATAAATATTTTCATGTGTCACAAAATGCCATTCTTTTGACTTTTTCAAACCATTTAAAATATCAAAACCATTCTTAGCTTGTGGGCCAGACAAAACCAGGTGGCAAGCTGGTTTTGGCCTGCAGGCCGTAGCTTGCAGACGCCCGGTCTAGACTGGTGTTCTCACCCTGACTCTGTCACACAACAGCGAGGTGTCTTTGGGCAAGTCACTTTGCCCCAGTGAATGTCAGGCTCCTCACTGCTTACAAACTGAATTCAGTCCAGACTCTAGACAAGGGGCAGGTTCCTGCCTGGGACTTTGTGGCCAGCTGCCTAATGGCTTCAACCTCGACCGAAGGAGAAAAAAAGCAGTCAAATACCCTTTCCCGGTGGTGCCACATACCTTCTCCTGAGACAGAAGGCTTCCCGGGCTTACAGACTGGGGGTCGTCCCCTCTGCATTTTGGGCAGATCCGGTCCTCGCTTGTCCTGGGGATACATGAACAAATCCTGCTGAGTGAAGCACTCATGACTTCCTGGCACCAACCTCCATCCTGATAGCTCCAAAAGCCTAGGCCTTGCCCGGTGTGGCAGCTAATGTCAATAAGCCGGCTCTCCACCATCCCAGACCCACCATTCGCAAACCTCAAAAGTACTGGGCACCCCCGATGTCTTCCGGTAGTTTGCTGTGAGCTTAGTTGGCAGCCAAACCTGACCTGGGGTGATCGGAGGCTACCATCACCCTTACTTACCCTGCTGAGTGTGACTATTTCTGTTTCACTGCAGAAACACTGATATGCTGGATTATAAGGGACTGCCCCAATCCCCGCTGGAAGAATGACACAGTAATGCACTGCCTCGCTTTTCTAAAATTGGAAAGAGTCTGAATTCCAAAATACATCTGACCCCAGGGGCTCAGGTAAGGGATTGCAGATATGTGGCTATATACAGGCTTCTTGGCTCCCTCTGTTTGGCTTTGGGTCTCTGATTTTCAGGAATGACAGATGACCAGAGTCAATTAGAACGAGAAGGGGCCTCAAAGAACTAACTTGAGCTTCTTAACCAGGAGTGGGTGTCAGACTCTGAGCAGAGCGAAAAGCACCTGCATGCTTTCAGAAAGCTCCCACGTGATGCTGACCCACAGCGACAGCCACTGTCAGGCCCATCCGACACGGTAGGAAAACAAGGCCCTGAGGACTCATGCGTTAGCCAAGAGTAGACTGAGTCAGGAGCCGGGCATAGCTCTTCAGGCCCGGGTCCCTCCGACACCCTGTCAGCTCTGTCCCCTGCTCTGCCACGTTTTGGAGGAATGGGGAGGGAAGCCAAGAGACCCATGGCAAAAGCCTGAGATGAACCCAGAAACATCAGCTCGATGGTACAAGCAGTCAAGCTTTGTTCTCCGCCCCCTGACTCCCCACCTGGCTCTTCCACAGCCACATCCTCTCCCCTCCTCCCGGCTGCCCCTCTGTCAGAGCCTTTGAACTTCGCAAGCTTGCCTGTTTCAGTCTTCTCACCTTCTGACGCTGTAAAGCCCCAAACAAAGGTCACACTGGGGGCGCATGGCAGAAAGTGGGAGCACATCTGCCAGGAATCTGACCTGGGGCAAGCTGACCTAATCTCTCCATTAGGCCTCATTGTCCCCATCTGTACAATAGGCTAATAACAGTATCCACCTTTCCAGGCTCCTCTGAGGATTCAAGGAAAGAGTGCTTAGCCTATAGTAGGCACATAATAGTTGCTTAAGATGGGGATGCTGATGATCATATTAATGTCACACCTGAGTTATTTATATTGTAAATATAAATATACACATATTTTTACATATTCTACACAATACGTGTAATGTATATTATATAATTCTATACATATGTAAAATGTGTATTCTATATAAATATAAATAGGTATTTATAGAGACATATAAAATTTAATATATTCTATAGAAATATATAAATATAGATATCTGTGTGTCCCCTTTAAAAGGGTTGCCAGCCAACAGTACAAGGTGATGGGTGGTATTGTGGAAGGAGATGGATTTTATAGCAGTCTGCCATTTACCAAGGGAGTTTATACTCATTCTTATAAGAACTTTTCCACATACTGTTGGTTGGGCCTTGTCCCAACCCCAGGAGGTAGAAAAGAGCTGTGGAGGCATCTTACAGACAAAGAAGCTGAGGCTTCAGGATGCTGGGCACTCTGCACCAGGCACACAGTCAGTAAGCAGTGCCGCTGGGTACAAACACTCTCCCTCCCTCCACCCTGGCTGGCCTCTGCTGTGGGAGCTAACATCTTCCCAAGGCTACTTCTCCCTCCATCCCTAGAAGGGCCTGTGCCAGGGCCAACAAGGGAAAGGCGTGGAAACAGGCCCCGGGGGGTGAAGTCACCTGCCTAAAGCTACCAGCTCCTCTCACCCCTGCCTCCCGTCAGGGGCCCCTCCCTGACACCTTTCCCCCCACCCCCACCCCCTGCTCCTCCGACCCCTCACCTCACGGTCTCAGAGAGACAGGCTGCACAGCAGAGGGCCCTGGGCTCTGTTGGGTCCTGGCAGACGGTGGGGGGGCACCCAAAGGGAAACTCGTTCTCATCAGGGGCCGGGTGGGGGCTGCTGGCTGGGCCAGACGCCATCCTGGGGTCCCAGGTTGGCCAGGGGCTCCCAGTCTAAGCAACTGTGGGGAGGAGACCAGCCCTGTGGAATCTGTGCTGAGAGAAGAGGTGAGTTCTGTCTGGCGAGCAGGAGTCTGACGACTTTATCTTTTCGCCGGCTTGTGTGGTTCAACGTCACAGCTGAGTCACAGCAGGGATGGGGCAGGAATTACCCTTCGTGGTGCAAAAAATCCCCTGGATGGTGACAAAATGCTTTAGGAGTGTCCAGTCATTCTTTAAAGTGAGAGAGAAAAAGAAAACAAGTCAGAGAGAAAAAAGAACTGGGCCCCAGATTTTCAGGAACTGCAATCAAAGTTTCCCTGTCTGAGCACCTTGGGCGGCTGCTGGCTTCCTCCTCCTCCTCCCTGGGGACATCGGCAGAGAGTCACAGCTGGGGGCTGCTCTGTGTTCCCCGGGACCTCGAGGGAGCCCAGAATTCTCGGTGGGGGTGCTTGCTGCCCTGGTGGAAATCCCCAGGGTTCTGGAGGCAGGTCCAAAAATGCAAGTTCCAGGCACTCTAGCTCTATCCTGGCCAAAGTCTCCCCCAGGTAAAAGTCACTTCCTCACAGTGGGTCTGGATAACCCCATCTGTTAAAAAAAAAAAAAGAAAAGAAAAGAAAAGAAAAGAAAAGGACTTGTAATAGGCTGTCTCCAAGGCCCCTCTGGGCTCTAAGATGCTGGGACCCCAATGGCCAAGGCAACCCGAGGCAGCTGGGAGGCTTCTGATGTCCCAACCTTGCCCGTGGTGTTCCTCATCAGTCATGGTGACAACACTGGGCCCTCCCCACTCCTTTGAAGCAAGGCCTCGGGACCATGAACTGCTCAGGGCCCTCCCCACATTTCCCCACTCAGGAAGTCATAGGTGGCCACACACTTGGGTCAGGCGCCGCAATTTCCCCGGTCCTGAGAACAAAGCTCTAAATAAATACTAGGTCACAGGGAGCTGGTCCGAGCGACCTGCTGGGGATTTGACAGCAGGAATTTAACACATAGGCACAGAGAAAGGAGGTGCATGGTCCGAAGTCACAAGCCCCAGGTGGGGGAGTAGCATTAGTACCAGTCTGAGGAACTCCAACCTCTATGTTTCCTACCCTTAGAAGAGAGACGAAAGCAAGGCGACCTGGTGGTGCTTACAGAGCTGGGGTTGGAAGTCAGAGCATCCAGCCTGTTTTCTCATCTACCAAATGCAGGAGATGATCCCTCTACCTCTTCCCATCCTGCTGGATTTTGCAAACTTTCACAGTGGTTTCAAATCCCGGGCCTTGAGGTCTGACAGATCTGAGCTGGGATCCCAGGTCTTCCATGTGCTAGCTGTGGGTCCTGGGACATGGTCTTTAACTTCTCCGAACCTCAGTCTTGGCATCTGTCAAGTGGGGCAGAATAATAAGGTCTACTTTACCTGACTGTTGTGGTGACCAAGTGAGGGGGTGGGCAGAAGCCTCGCATGGTACATGGCCCAAGCGAAGTGCCTGGAAGGCTCTGACATTGTATCCCAGGGACGGCCACAGCCCTTCCAGATCCTCAAGATCAAGGGAAAGAATTAAGATGGTAAATGAGGCTTCTACAGTGTTTCCACATCCATCAACTTTACTTGAGCCTTGTAAGTGGGCAAGGCAGGTCTGATGTCCTCTGACCCTAGAAAAATTCAACCGTCCCCCTTCCCTGGAGCCATATTGGGGCTGCTGGCAAAGAGGACATGGCCCCCCACCGCTGCAGGTGTAAATCGGGACCTCCACCCTCACCTGGGTCAGCTGTGGCCTGGCCCTCTCAGCAAATGGCCTTGAGGCCTACTTTGGAGAAGGCCTATCAGAAAGGCACTCCCTTAACCACATCCCCCAAGCCTGCAAACTTCCCTGCATCCCCACCAATTCCCTCTTTCCCTTCATTTGGCATAGGCTGACACCTGTCTCCCCATCCAAGTTCTGGGTCCCTTTCTCCCTGGTCCCCTTCCTCTCCCCTCTGTCTTCAATGCCTCCCTCTCTACCAGATCTTCCCTATCAGCATCAAGGTATGCCCTGTTCAATAATAAAAGTGAAGAATAACAGGCACAGCATTTTAGTGCCATGTTAAGTACTTTTAACCACCTCATCTAATCTTCACAGGACCCCTTTGTGGCAGGGAGTGTCTTCATCATCCCATTTTACAGATCAGACACAAACCGGTTAAGTGACTTGCCCAAGGCCTCACAGATAGTGTGTGGGGACTCCCGAACCCAGAGCCTGTACTCTAACCACACATTCCACCCATATCCCGAAGTCCTCTCCCACATCTACACTCTCTGCACACTTTAATAGAACTTGTAGAAAAGACTGTCTATGCAGAGAATTCCTCACTGGAATCTCCAGAACCATCTCCCCAGGGTTCTCAGTGTTGGGGTCACCAGTGCCCAGGGCCTGTCCCAGTTTCTATCTAACCAGCCCTCCCACCAGCACTTGACCCCATTCTTGGCCCTCCTTCCAAATTCCCTTCCTTCCCTTGGCTTCTGCATCCACTCCGTGTACCCCCATCCCCCACTTCTCTGGCTGCTCTTTATCTTCTCCTCTGAACCTCCATTGGTCCCATCTCCGTGACTCCACAGCGGGGATCCACAAGGTTGGAGTCTCTCTGCGCCGCGTACCCCCGCCTCCCTCGCCTCGCCAGCCATCCCCTTGACCTTTGGGGTGCGCCTGGACTAGACCCCTGGAGTCTCGGTGGTCTGCCACCGCGCGCCCATCGCGACCCCACCCAAGCAGAGCCCCCTCTCCCCTCTGTCGTCCGGCTCGATGATGCCGGGTTGCCTGTCTGTGGGCCCCCAGGGCGGGTGACTGTCCCCTCGCCACCCCCACTGCTCCAGGTGCGTGCCCCGTGCCGAGAGCAGTGCAGGGCCGGCGACTAGTCAAGGATGGGCGAGCCCCTGGGCTGCCCCGGCTGCCCGCAGGAAGCGCTGGGGTAGGGAGTGCGGGGGCGGGCTCTGCGGCGGTGGAGTCCAGGTCACGGGCCGCGAGGGGAGGCCTGCACTGGGGGAGCCCCCGCCCGAGCGAGCGGGAGCTGGGGCGTCCCGGGCCGAGGAGCGCGGGGGCGGGGGCCACGGAGCCTCGGGCAGACCCGGGGGGGGGTGGGGTGGGGCGGGGTGCAGTGCAACCAACCTTGGCGCCGCCGCCGCCACCGCCGGCTCCCCGCGGCCCGCCGGGAGCTTCCGGTGGGGCGCCGGGGACGTGGCCCGGGAGGCGGAAGCTGGAGAGGGCGGGGCGGGTCCTCGCAGCCCCCGCCGGCTCCCGGGGCCGCCCCGGGGGCGGGGCGAGCGCCTCTCCCCCGGTGGGGAAACTGAGGCTCGGGGCGGCGTGTGCAGCGTTGCCCTTCGCCCCGCGCCGTGGCCCCAGCGCAAAGGCAGCACTCTGGGAGACTCGGGAAGCGTTCGCAGAGTAAACGAAAACAGACCTGGGACTTGAACCGCCCCCCGGTCTCCCGCTTGTCTGAAATCCCGCGTGGGGTTGGGGTCTCCAGTCTTAGCTCTTTCGGATTCCTGCAAAGAGCCTAGCGCAGTGCCGGGCTCGCGCAAGCTTACTGGTTTGGGGAGGTCGGCAAAGAAACGGTACAAAGCTGTTCGTTCCAAAGGCGCTCTGCCTTTACAAAACTAGATGTTTTAAGGAACCGTTTCTGATTTCATCTAAACACACACACAGGAACACATATTCTTTATGAATTTGTGTATATCAGTCAAAATAGTTGTGGAACTTAGTGTTGGGAAGGAATTTTTGTTTAAAAGACACAAACAACCTTTATTTTTACGAGTTTGTCAAAGACTCCTCCGTCAGACCTCTGATATCTGCAGGATTGGTAGCAGAGGGAGGAGTGAGGCTGCCCACTTTGTTGGTTTTGTTTTGTTTTAGTTACTCAGAGGCATCCATTAAATTCTCTTTATGTATCAGGGTCTCATTTGTGTGTGTGTGTGTGTTGATACCCAGCTGGATATGGGAACTGTGCTTTATCTCTTTGGTTTTGTTTCTTGGTTTGTTTTGTTTTTGTTTTTTAAGATTTTATGTATTTGTCAGAGAGACAGAGAGACTGACCACAAGCAGGGGCAGCGCCAGGCAGAGGGAGAAGCAGACTCTCCGATGAGCAAGCCCCATGTGAGACTGGATGCTAGGACCCTGGGATCGGTCTGGGATCATGACCTCATCTGACACTTAACCAACTGAGCCACACAGGTGCCCCTGGTTTTGTTTTTTTCAGGTGAGACGTATTTAAGCCTCTGATCCATCCAGAGCAGAGCTTCTGCGGGCTTCTGAGGGAGCAGCTAATGCTGCAGGACAGGGAACCCTGCTGGTGAAAGAAGAGCTTCGGGTCCAACCTGGAGGGGAGACACCTGCTTACAAACAAGCAGAGGCTCTCCAGCGCCTCCAACAGAGGCCATCTGGGGGAAGTTGACCAGCGGTGGTCTCTATAGGGTCTTTGCATTCTAAGAAATGGATTGAGTTTTGAGTCTCTGGTTTAAAAATCCACTGATTCTTGGTCCAATCCTCGAAGGATGTGGGGTCTGTAAAAACCATTCTCTGGCCCCACCTCGGTCCCAACCATCCTGCCCTCTCTGCCCCCAAAATAAAGCAGTGTAAGTGAACAAGCAACCTGACCTCACTCTCTTCATGTGTCACTTCCTGTTTTCAAATTAATGAGCTCATTTGGTGGAAATTTACCAAGGGAAATAGTTTAATTTTGGAAAGTACCAAAAACTTATCTGTAGTCATTTGGCTTATTTTGGGGGGCTCTTGAAATTGAGGGGGCATCACCAGAGGACCTCTGAGGGCTCAGGGAACAGCATGGCTGAAGAAATTGAAAGCCAAGCCCCAGGAGGCTGAACCTGACTCAGGAAGGAAATGAGACCTTTTGGAGACCACTCATCTCTACCCAGTAGAGAATTTTTTTTTCCCTAAAAATAAGTTTAAAAAGAAATGTAGTCCATCTGGCTAAGCCCTAACATCTGGTGGTCTGAGAGTGAGGCCGTGACTGAGGAACAAGAAAGCAAATGGGGGAAGTGGGGAATGTCTGAACCTCCGTGGCCCCTTTCACATCCCTATCTGCTATGTTTGTCCTAGGAAGCACCAAAAGGCTCCAAAAGGATGGGGGTTTTGTCCCCATCCTTCAGCCACCGGGCTCTTGATGTTGAAGCTGCCTGCCTGGCCTCATAGCCTTGTGGGCCTGTGGCTCCTGAAAGGTACTGTGTACTGAATGGTCAGGAGGACTCTGGATAGTTACAGTTTTGTGAGTTGTGTTGGGCTGGTAGAGCACAAGTCACAAGCCCCTAAGTGTCTTCCCCCTCCTGGCCTGCCCTATTTCCAAGAGCAGAGATCTTTATAATCCCTTCTAAGACGGAGAATAGAAAACTGGCGAAAACTGACAAAGCTCTGACAATTTGGTGCTGGGAGGAAAAGGAGCTGTACCTTCCCTCTCTCTGCCCCTACCTGAAAATCTGTAGTGATACCTTCCCTCTCTCTGCCCCTACTTGAAAATCTGTAGTGATATTGGAGTATATATTGATGTATTGGAATGAGCACTGGACTAGGAGTCAGACTTCTGTTTG